TGTAGTGGCTCCCACCAGAGCGTGTTCTGTGACTGAGGGAGAGTTTGTCCAATCTCTCATACAGGCTGCAGACATGGTCTGAGAAACGACACGCTGTCTCCAACATCCTGTTGCCATTGATAAGAGACTGATGTTACTGATGTCGCATATTCATTCGTGGTGTTACTGAAACTTTGACTATCACAGAGGAGATTTTAGCGTTGTTGCTGGTGCGTTGGACAGTGTGGACTTGTCCTGTGCTCTCAGCCTGGTACTGATGGTCAAGGCAGGTGTTGTGAAAAAGCCTCAAATGGAGGTGATGACTTTTGGACATTTGACTCACTGCTGCAGTCGTTAAGAATGGATCACGTTATGGAAGTTGTTTTGTTAATTTCAACTGAATCATGGTCAGTTTTTTGCTTTCTCTCTGATAATAACATAACCATGCACTTCCTCACACTGAAGATGGTTAAGCTGAGGTGCTGTGTTAAAGTGCTTTTTTCTATCTACCCACTGTAACTTTGTGAGCAAGTTTTCTCTGTAATGATGATTTCTCTTTAATGCCTTAAAGGTCCCATATTATGCTTTTCTTCCTTTTTCACAGTCAATCCTATGCACATGTGTGATAATAATTTGAGTGAAACACCATACAACACTCAAAAACATGTGAGATTATAGCCATCTCTACAGATCTGTTGGTTCTGTAGGCGAACTGCAGGGGGTCCAGGAGGGGGGAGGTGAAGGACTTGAGGTGGGGGAGGACGAGGCGCTCAAATGTCTTCATAACTACAGATGTCAGTGCCACAGGTCTGTAGTCATTGAGACCTGTGATCCGGGTCTTCTTGGGAATGGGGACGGTGGTGGAGGATTTGAGGCAGGTGGGGACATGGCAGGACTCCAGCGACGTGTTGAAGATGTCGGTGAAGAATGGGGACAGCTCCTTCGCGCAGTGTCTCAGGGTGGAGGGTGAGATTCCATCCGGGCCGGCAGCACTGTGGAGGTGTAGCCTGGAGAAATGTTGTCTGGGCTATTGACATACAGTACCTTCGGAAAGTATTCGGCCCCCTTGAACCTTTCAACATTTCGCCACATTTCAGGTGTCAGGGATGAAGCAGACAGAGACGGATCGTGGTGCGCCAAACTCTGGAAGTTTATTTAGGTTTCTCTCAAGTTCCAGTGGTTTCCATTGTTTCTTTCTCTCAGACAGAATAAAGGCAGTACACAGTTTATATAGTCATTGTCACGTCACACATCGAAAGACATACGTGTCACAAAGAGACAGTCAAATCATAGTCATAACATGGAGTCCTTGTAGAGTCCTGCACGTAGGCCATATTGCTATCTAATACTAACACAGGCTTCAAACATAAAGATATAAAAAAATATTTTTTTGTCAAGAATCAACAACAAGTGGGACACAAACGTGTGGTGGAACGAAATTTATTGGATAATTAAAACTTTTTTAACAAATAAAAAACTGAAAAGTGGGGCGTGCAATATTATTCGGCCCCCTTGCGCTAATACTTCGTAGTGCCACCTTTTGCTGCAATTACAGCTGCAAGTCGCTTGGGGTATGTCTCTATCAGTTTTGCACATCGAGAGACTGGAATTCTTGTCCATTCTTCCTTGCAAAACAGCTCGAGCTCAGTGAGGTTGGATGGAGAGCGTTTGTGAACAGCAGTCTTCAGCTCTTTCCACAGATTCTCGATTGGATTCAGGACTTTGACTTGGCCATTCTAACACCTGGATACGTCTATTTGTGAACCATTCCATTGTAGATTTGGCTTTATGTTTTGGATCATTGTCCTGTTGGAAGATAAATCTCCGTCCCAGTCTCAGGTCTTTTGCAGACTCCAACAGGTTTTCTTCCAGAATGGTCCTGTATTTGGCTCCATCCATCTTCCCATCAATTTTAGCCATCTTCCCTGTCCCTGCTGAAGAAAAGCAGGCCCAAACCATGATGCTGCCACCACCATGTTTGACAGTGGGGATGGTGTGTTCAGGGTGATGAGCTGTGTTGCTTTTACGCCAAACATATCGTTTTGCATTGTGGCCAAAAAGTTCGATTTTGGTTTCATCTGACCAGAGCACCTTCTTCCACATGTTTGGTGTGTCTCCCAGGTGGCTTGTGGCAAACTTTAAACAAGACTTTTTATGGATATCTTTGAGAAGTGGCTTTCTTCTTGCCACTCTTCCATAAAGGCCAGATTTGTGCATTGCACGACTGATTGTTGTCCTATGGACAGACTCTCCCACCTCAGCTGTAGTTATCTGCAGTTCATCCAGAGTGATCATGGGCCTCTGATCAGTCTTCTCCTTGTTTGAGATGAAAGTTTGGAGGGAGGGTCGGGTCTTGGTAGATTTGCAGTGGTCTGATACTCCTTCCATTTCAATATAATTGATTGCACAGTGCTCCTTGAGATGTTTAAAGCTTGGGAAATCTTTTTGTATCCAAATCCGGCTTTAAACTTCTCCACAACAGTTTCTCGGACCTGCCTGGTGTGTTCCTTTGTCTTCATGGTTCTCTCTCCGCTTTAAACAGAACCCTGAGACTATCAAAGAGCAGGTGCATTTATACGGAGACTTGATTACACACAAGTGCATTCTATTTATCATCATCAGTCATTTAGGACAACATTGGATCATTCAAAGATCCTCACTGAACTTCTGGAGTGAGTTTGCTGCACTGAAAGTAAAGGGGCCGAATAATATTGCACGCCCCACTTTTACATTTTTTATTTGTTAAAAAAGTTTAAATTATCCAATACATTTTGTTCCACTTCACGATTGTGTCCCACTTGTTGTTGATTCATGACAAAAAATTAAATTTTTATATCTTAATGTTTGAAGCCTGAAATGTGGCGAAATGTTGAAAGGTTCAAGCTTTTTCCTTGTGTATTTCTCACCGATCAAAAGACTTAAACTAAATATAAATAGTACATACATATGTGCAAAACATTAATAAACACTATGACAAGTTTAACACAGGAAACTAACAGCGAAATGACAATCAGCACAAGCTGAGTGCACTTGCACAGTCCACTGTGAGGAAGCCAGCGATCTGGGGTGAGGCAGTGCTCCTGCGTGCCTCACCCCAGATCGCCACATTTTATTTGGCTCTAAATAAGAGGAACATGTCTTTATTTTGATTTTCCACATTTACAGAAGTTTGATGATTGTATCACCTGGCTGACAAAAAGTAAAAAGATCAAAACCCATATAGTGAGTTTAGAAAAAGCCCAGTGAGTCACAATTTGATAGAATTGGCTGAGTGTGGACGTGGTCTTCTTCATTTCACTTTCCGTCTAAAAAAAGCTGATCTAAAGATGTGACAGAGGCAGAAAATGCATGTGAAAACTAGTAATGCAACCAAACTGTTTTGAGAGCAATGAACTACAACATTTAAGACTTATTTTATTACATCATAAAATATCAAAACAATCATTATAATGTTTTGTATTTTGAAAATGAGGAACCTCAGCTTTAAAGCCATCCATCCATCCATTTTCTACCCTTTAATCCATTTCTGGGTCAGGGGGGTGGCAATCAGAGATGCCACCCAAGTCTCATAGCACCAGCCCCTCACTGACCCTCTGCAGGTGGTGAGTCCACAGGAGGGCGGCTGCTCTCTGAGTGTGAGCATAGCCTTGATCTTTCAGCTGGAGCTTTAAAGCCACCCTGTGTAATTTATTCAGCTGCTCCATATGAAAATACATGTTAACTAATAACAAATGTGACCTTTTTAAGCATATTTACCTCCACCATGTTTTTTGAATTGTATTCATAGGCTTAGAATTTAACTTATAAGTGTCCATAAGAGAGGAGTGCTCTCCGTGTAAATGCGCCATCTTGGAAATCGGTGGTGGATAAGAGATAAGAGCTCACATGAGCTACTGATATCCTTGCTTTCACTGTGCCTTCACAAATTGGAAGAAGGAACCATTGAAGACCACAGTTATATAAAAGAACGATCCGAACAACAATCTTTAAGAAAAATAATTATGCAGAAGCAGCAAAGTGTCAACATCGCAAAGCACACACACAAAGACAGCATTAACACAACAGGAGGCACATTGTGTAGTTTGTACACAACAGACTCACACGTGAACATTACGTAACTTTTTCAAACTGACAATAATAAGAACGAGGCAGAATCTACAACTCAGTCTCAGGATGTTCTGACCCGATCTGAGCACAGTCCAGCTACTATGTCACAAGTTTCAATTGAACTTATTCAGGGACAAAGCCTCAAATAAAACACAAAGAATCTCCGCAAAACAATCGCCAGAATACTTAATCAGCAGCGTGAGTGAATGTTCTGTGTTTCTTTCCATGATGCAGATAGGGCGCTGTGGCTAACGCTAATGCTAACATGAGCTGTTAGCCATGTCCTGCCGCGGCTGTGTATATCTCCTGCTTCTTTGATCACCATTGTTTTAAGCTCCCACAGACGCTATTCCTCCATGCGTCTCTTCTCTTCAGACCGCGTTTGTAAAACTATATATTATAATAGATCCATGGTAAAACTCAGAGCCTCAGGGGTGCAGGGTGCTGCTGTCTGAATGCAGTGTTGTTTACATCCACTCCTCCATACGATTGTGTCAAGTGCCCGAGACGTTTGGAGAGATCCAGTAATTTTTCAAACTAAAGTATTCTTTCCTTGGCAGTCTGGTGAATGACTGAGAGTTGAGGAGCACTATCAAACAGTATAGGCAACAGTGCTCCTCAACTCTAGGCACCCGTACAATATTAGACTGCAACATAAGATCTCGCCGCTAGATGGCACTTGATATTACACAGTGTACAATTGATTCACTGTGTACAATTGATTCAATTCAGTTTATTTTTGTATAGCCCTAACATCACAACAGCAGTCTTAGAACCCGGTAATCCATCTATTTTCTCTGAGTTGCGGCAACAGAAAATGATGTAAATGATTTAATAGTGGATATTCAACATTGCTTTTGAAAGGTTTAGTTGGCCTGTTACTTACCTCTTGTTTTTTCTTCTTGTTTTCCCAGCGTTCAAAGCCAAAATCAAGGAGGTGAAGCGTGAAAACATGGATCGTAAGGTAATCCTGCAGAAGCGCAAGAAAATGATCAAAATGGGCACACTGAAGAAGAAAGATCTGAAGAAGCTGTTCCTAAACCTGAAGAACGGAGCAGATTGTCCCTGTCAGCAGCTGGACAACCTCAGCCCCCAGTACCTCATCATGGGACGCAAGGTGGACCAGAGTTTCCTCCTGACCGGCATCCACAAGTGGGACAAGTCCAGCAAAGAGTTCAAGAAGACCATCAAGAAGCTCAAGACCTACAAGTGCCCAGCGTATGAGAACGTCTTCTAGTCCGAGACAGAAGCACGGACTCACTCAAAGTGAAACTAAGTCCTGTTTTGGAACGAAAGACTGCGTGTTGGTGGGTAGGCCAAAATAAACGCGTATAGTTTGAGTGTTGCAGTCTTGTTGGCTGTTAAAGGGCTTATTGGTGAATTTTTATCATATTGTGTCCCAATCAGAATACACCAGAGGTTTTTTTGTATTGACAAACACATTTGATGCATTATTTGTGTACATTTCAGCCCGTAAACCTCCTGATGTTAGGAATATTCCCGTTGGCAATTCATGGTTTAGAATGTGAAATTATTTCTGAAGTGGAACATATGGATACAGAGGATGTATTATGAAAGCCTGGAATGAGAAACACTTCCATTTAGTAGTTTCATTAAAGCTGGGATACCTAACTATCAAACCACATAACATCGATTAAACTAGTTTTTTGCTTTAAAAAGACATTTCAAATCATTTTACTTACACGGTAAATCATCATAATAAACTGATCTGTCCACAATGGTATTGTGTAAGGAGTTTGATAACAGCTTTTAGACTGAAGGGCGGGGAGTGTGTTATTTTGCATTGAGGGTGATGGCATGGGTAGTGGGACGGTCAGACTGCTGTTAAAACAGGAAGTGTTCTTATGTTTTGGAAGACCACATCTCCACTCAACCTTATCTTACCGTTTCATTGCAGTCTAGTTGCAGTGTATTTTGGGATACAACCATAGCGTCCCCTTTCTGCTGCTTTGTATTGTCATTCCAAGACCTAAACATGAGATGTGACATTGTAAAAGCAATCAAAAATTGCCAAATAATTTGTAATATGGTTTAAACACACTTTACAATGTAAAGATTATCTTTGTACATTTACAGGATGATCTTTGAACATTTTGTGGTTTAAATGTTTAAAAGTGAACAGGTTTTCATTTGCTCATAACAATATACAACTCACTCTCAATGAAATCAGACTTCTGTATTTAGACCCACCCCAGACAAAGACAAAAAAGCATATAGATTTGAAACCGTGTAACTGCAGACATAGCCAGCTCTGTAAATATGTCCATCTCCACAAATCTGAAAGACAAATGCAAATCACCTCAATACAGTGTAGTGCATGTATTAGGTCTGATGGTGGCACTGTGAGGCTGCAACAGGAAACACCAAAAATCATGTATCCCCCCCCCTTCCCCTCCCTTCCCCTCCCTCCCCCTCCCTTCCCCTCCCTCACCCTGCTAATGAAAAACAGGCGAACACTGCACACAGCAAATTAAGAGACTTTTATTTCAGATTTGACTAATATGAGGAGAAACATTTCGCATGGACATTTTCTTCAAACATAGATTTGAATAACTCTCTGTGTAGAAGTTTTGCACACGGTGGCGTGTGTACAGCGGTCTTAAAATTTAAACACTCCAGGTTTTGAAAATATTTGTTTACAGTATGCAGTTTCACCAGCTCCATGTGGACGAGAGCTGGATTAGACAAAATACTTTTCCTGATACAATAGAAATTGTCTCCGTCTGCACAGGGACTGACTGTTCTGTGCTGTGTCATGTGTAGTAGGGCGCAGGTCAATCAAAGTTACAAAAATGGACACGCTCCCACAACATATGGATGAACTATGGTTTAGTGGATACCCATAAGTCATCAACCAGGCAGATCTAAAGACAAGAACTTCCTACATGAGTGAAAATGTATGACTATAATGTAATAATGGATGTATGGCTATAATGTGATAATGGATAATGGAATCATACATCAGTGTATTCCTAAGGCAAAATGCATACAATGTGAATCAATTCCATAGGAGCCGATTTGAATATTGTGACATTATGAACAATAGACAACAGGTTTACAATGTCATGTCATGTCATTGTCTTCCCCTTTATTAGTCCATTTCTGGGTCGGGGGGGTCGGGGGGGTTGGCAATCAGAGCTGCCACCCAAGTCTCATAGCACCTGTCCCTTGCTGATCCTCCTGCAGGTGGTGGGTCATCAGAGATGGTCTTGGTCCCAGGTTTACAATGTTTTTGTAAATAAGTTATCCAAAAAAATGCAATTTTGAACGCATTACGGTCATGTAATTGTAACCATTTTCTTCTGTGTCTCTTGATTTAAAATGAGAAGTCTGAATCATTTACCAGAGAAAAAAAGTAAATTGTAAATGCCAATTTAATCTTTTATTTGATTTCCCTGGTCCGTTTTAGCACTATTTTTGATTGAATGTCAGCAGTTCTCTACTGCCTATTATGTGTACATACAAATTTTACATAAATATACGATGAAAAGAAATGCGTTGTCTTAGTGTTTTTGTCTCCAAATGTGTTATGTCTTTGAGTCCAACAATCACAAGGTCCGGCTGTTCCAAAATATTGATGGCTCGCACAATACCGTTAAGCACCACGATGTGGAGAGAAGGAATAATGTTAAGTGTTTTTGAGTGTCATGAAAAGCGCAAATAATCTGATTATATGTATTATTAATATTAGATTCAGATTCAGTTTATTTGCCATTTGCAGTAAAAAACCACATTGGAATACATTAGCAAAAGTCACCAGTGTGCACTGACAAATACAGACATAAAACAACATTAAAAGACAAAAATAAAACAGTAAACAAATGTCACTGTGAAATCGATCGACTAAAACAGTTTCAAAACAAGTGCAAATCATTAAAGTGCTCTGTTCACACTGATAACAGCTTGTGGATAAAAACTGTTAGCGTAACGAGATGTCCTGCATCTCAGAGAGCGATATCTTCTGCCAGAGGGAAGAAGCTGGAACATGGCTTTCCCAGGGTGGCCAGAAGAGTCATTAACAATCCTAAGAGCTTTGTTTAAAAGTCTGGATTTATAAAGAACCTCCAGAACAGGAAGCTCACAGCCCACGGTCCTCTTTACAGAGCGGAGCACCTTGTTTAAAGCTCTCTTTTCTTTATCTGTGATGTTTCCAAACCACACATACACAGAACCAACAAGTAAACTCTCCATGGTGCAGCAATAAAAGTTAAGCAGAATCTTAGAGTTAGTGGTAAATTCTCTAGATTTACGCAGAAAGTAGAGACGCTGACGAGCTTTCTTAACGACTCGGTCAGTGTTTTTAACCCATTTCAGGTCGTTAGACAGAGTTAAACCCAGAAACTTGCACTCCTCTACGATCTGCACCTGGGAGTTGTCGATTACGACAGGCAAATGAGAACTATTGCAACTGAAGTCGTAGACCAGTTCACATGTTTTCGATGCGTTCAACTGGAGGTTGTTAGTTTTACTCCACTGAACCACATTTTGTATCTCTGCTCTATAAGAGGATTCATCATTGTTACTGATGAGACCGATGATGGTGGTGTCATCAGCATATTTAATGATCAAGTTTGAGTCAGAGGAGGACACACAATCATGAGTGTACAAAGTAAAAAGCAAAGGACTCAAAATACATCCCTGAGGAGAACCAGTGCTCACAGAAACAGCATCAGAAAAACAGTCATTGATTTTCACTCTCTGAGATCTGTCAGTTAAAAAGCTAAAAATCCATTTACACATGGCAACACTTAAACCGAGAGACATGAGCTTTTCAATCAGTTTACCTGGGACAAGGCAGTTAAAAGCAGAGCTATAATCGATGAAAAGCATTCTCATATTATTATTATGAATGATGATGAACTGGTGTCTTGTCTATTTCTACTGTCGTTTCCAGTCGAGCCACCAAAAATGTTCAGAGCAGAATACCGATTGTGATCCATTAAAGGATTTTAGCACCACACATGTGAACAACAACCTCCATATGTTTGGAGTGATTGCCGGGGGGAAGCTGTGGACGTCCTATCAGAAGCCAAACTCACTCAGAGCAAATAGTGCGGACGGAGCAGTAAACAAACATCTAGAGTAGACCACAGGTTTACTGACATGAGTCGCACAAATATAAACAAACGGAGACACTGGTAAAGTCTGCACATGTGTGATTCTCTCCAATAGAACACACAGTACTTTTACTTCAGGACCATCTGTCTGAACATCAAGATAACAAGCCCTAGGGGAATTTTATATAATAAGAATGCACTGTTTTAAACAGCAAATTTTTGAACAGTCAAATATGCTTCACATTTCATTCACTCCATACACATTTGTGATAAACCACTAGTGTAGCTGCAGCTGCCCTGGGTCAGACTGACAGAATTGTTGCAATCAATCCATGCATCGGCCACTGACCCCCATGAAACATTCACATACACACAAACTAGGCAACGAGCGCAAAGTGCCACCACCATACAGTAGATGAAGTTTCACTCAATGTTTTTTTTAACCAACAATGTGAGGACATTTTTTTTTCATAAATAATTAAACACAGGCACTTTAATTATTTATTCTATACACAGTTGTGTACAGTTTACCACTGCCATCTATTCACAGACACACAAGAGTCATATTAAATAATATGGGTAAAGTGCCTTGCCAAAGGACATAACTGCAGTTGTAAACTTTAGTGTCATTGATGTTAAAAGTGTATCATGTCTTCTTTATGTTTAATAAGTAAGTAAGTAATGTTTTTTATATAGCGCATTATACAGACCGAGGTCATCCAAAGGGCTTTACAATGTTCAGATATTGTTCCAATCATTCCACACACGGTGATGACAGAAGTGAGTTGCCGAACACACTGGACCATCAGCACCATCCATTCACTTTCATACCTATTGTGCATGTTTTTAGTGGTAGGGGAAACTGGAGCACCCGGAGGAAACCTACGCAGACACAGGGAGAACATGCAAACTCCACTCAGAAAGGCCCTGTTCCAACCAGGATTCGAACCCAAGACCTTCTTGCTGAGAGGCGAGAGTGCAATCCACTCAGCCACCGTGCCACCTATAAGTTCAAGGCTTATACGGTTCTTGTCATTTCTGGGTTGCAGCTGACGTCAGCAAAGTGCAAAATAGACAGTGGCTCAGTTGGTAGAGCATTGGCCTAAGAGCCTGAAGGTCGTGGGTTCGAGCCCATCACAAAACCTACTTCATTACTCCC